CCAATCGCTTTCTAGTTCAGGTGGTGGCCAATAGGCGGAAAGTCAAGGGTAATTACATGCAAGGTAAACCATGCCGCTCACAGTCCCTTAAATCTACTTTCTGTCTAATTAAACCCCCTCCCTGTAGATGGGCTTCAGGGTGGGGAGAGATAATTAAGAGCAGTGTGTTAACAAAAGATCCAGAAAATTACCGCTGAACTGGCTCCAATAACAATTAATGCGCTTTAAATTAAATTCTTAAGAGAATGTAGAACAAGTGACTTCCATCCAAGAGACTATTTAACTTTCCCACGCATCCACTGTTGCCCAGTTTGCACTGCAGAAGCACGGGGCTCTCACAATGAGCAAAATGTCAACACGAGGAAAGTGCTTGAGCGACAGGGACTGCACAAACACACACACACACACACACACACACACATTATTCCCAGAGGGCTGTTTAGCATTACACAGCCCCTCGGGAATTTATGAGTTTTTATCACCTCCTGATGGCGCCCGTTAAGTGATTTGTTCACCTACGGCCCCTAAAAAGACATCTGTTGTTTTACCGTCGGCCATAACCTCCCGGAGCTTCCACCGTGTTTGAACTGTCTCTCTGGTTATGAGCCCGGGCTTTCGACATGCAAGCCACGCTTTTCATTGCGAGGCGAAGGAAGAGAGGGAGAGGGATGGAGAGAGTGTGGGGATGAGAGAGAGAGAGAGAGAGGGGAGGAGGGGGGGGAGCAAACACCTTTAATGGTCTCTCATTCGCTCCCAAGTGCAAAGCATCGGATCAATGCAGGTCTATTGCAATCACATAATGGGAAATCAAATAGCATTATCCCTCCCCTCTTTCTCTCCCTCCCCTCCCTCTCCTTTCTCTCTCTCTCTCTCTCTCTCTCTCTCCCTCTCTCACATGCACACACATCCTTTTACTCGCACACACATCTCGGGCCTCGCCCCCTCTCTGTGTCCGCTCTCTGATGGGAATCCAAACACCATCTCATCCCAGGAGTATAGACAGTGTTTGCTCCTGCACTAAGTGAGCTTTTTATGAATCGCCAGCGTCGGCTTAATTGCCACTAAAACGTCCCCCGTCCGCGTGTAATAACATTCAATAACAGGAAAGACCTTCCCCGCGCAGCGACTGGGGCCATTTAACACGTTTTTACTGTAATAAATTACTGCCTCAAATTGGCCCGTAATCGTTGATCCTCAATCAGTGACGCATATCACCGGTTATTATCCAGCACCGTGCATCAGGGACATTTTATAGAGGACATAAAACATTAGAGGGTGCTGCCCCCCCCCCATATCTGATTTACAAGCCACAGGCTCCTCTTTTCACATAAAGATAAACAGAGCCACTTACTTGAACACGGGCCTCGGTAAGATCCAGGCGCATTGCGAGCTCTTCTCTGAAAAGAATATTTAAAAAAAGGAGAAAAGAGGAAGAGAGACAGAAAGAAAAGATTCAAGGTTACAGGCCACCGTTTGGAAGCAACGTAGAATTGCTGTTTTGTCCCCTCCTGTTGTTCACTGTCAACAATAGACGGCCAAAATAGGCTGGATTTTTATTTTTTTCTCCCTTCTTCCTGGCATGGGCTGCAGAAAGACGCCATAGCCATATTCTATTCTCCCTGTCACGGATGGGTAGAAATAGGCCTAGTGATTGTTAGATTTTCCTTAGCACAGGCCTGTCACTGTAACAACATAATGGTTGAAATAATGACATCTAAACTAGCCTGCCACAAAGCAATTGACGCTCCCTTCAGCTGCGAGATGGGCTTGCAGTGTAAATTAGCCCTACAAGTCGCCTTAAAGTAAATCGATTGGAAAATATGAATAATCCCAATAGTAATGACAAATAAAAAATAAAACACGTTCTTGTGTCTGGCTCAGTGTCAAAAAAAAGCTTCTATTTTCAAGCAGAAAATGCGGATGTGTCAATTATCAAAATCTTAATTGAGCAGAAAATTGGTGTGGAATTTTATTTATAGATGAGTTTATTTTGTTTTTAGGCCATACTGCATAAAAATCATATACTGTATTTCTTAAAAAACATTTCTACCAGCATAAACCGCTCAGAAAAGCCTCTGTAGTTCAGCCTGTGTGTGTGTATGTGTGTGTGTGGGGGCTTGTGGTTAGGCCCTGAGTTTTATTTTTAATTTTTTTTGTTTTTTGCAGACTGTATTCAGTATCATGTCCAGCAGGTAAGCTGAGCTGCAGCGGTTAATTCTTCCTCCTGAGAATAACACCGCTGTCATCAACAGGAGCGGGCAGGTAACAAAACGTCCCCATTGTTAGCACTTACAGGCCTATTGTGTTCACTTATGCAAAGCACGGCTTTGGTGTTGGGGCATTTTATGAGGTGTGATCCGCACAGTGTCCAGTTAAAGACGTTTGGAATTACTGGAACTGTTTCTGGAAAATTTAATGGGGTCGAGAAGTGTTTATTTAAAAATAAATGCAATTAATTATCACCTCCATCCGTTGAATTATTAGAGAACACGTTGCATGATTGTGTCTTGATACGTTTAGTTGGACATTATTTCAAATCTGTAATAATAATATTATTAATAATAATAATAATAATATAATTGAATGAGACACAATTATTGTATAATAGTGTAATAATATACATTTTATATGCATGAAAATTGAAAAATTCTAGGCCTAGTTTTTGTCATTTTTTATTTGTAAAGGCATACCATGCAGAATTAGTCTTATAATAAAAATAACAATAATAATATTATTGATAATAATTTTTTTTAGAGGGAGACAAAATTATAGAATTTTTTAACGAAGTTTGCAGACTTCAAATAATAAAGATGTCATCAATATATGGTTCTTACCTGGTGAAGACATCGGGGTAGTGTGTCTTCTGGAAAGCCCTCTCCAGCTCCTCCAGCTGGTAACTGGTGAACGTAGTCCTGTATCTTCTCTGCTTCCGTTTCAGCATCCCTTCCTCCGAGTCACTGCCCGCCGACAGACACACGCTGTCCTCCCCGTCCCTCACGTCCCCATCCCCGGCGTTCAAGCTCTCCCTCTCCTCGTCCTTCGGGGACAGTGCGGCCGCGTCCCCGCAGCTCTCCTCCTTCCCTGCGTCCTCCTCGAACTTCAACGGACCGAGCTCTACCAGTCCCAGGCTGCCGTCCTCCGAGCCCTCCCCGGGGCTCTGGTCGCCCTCTCCCCGGCTCAGCGACGCGTTCTCCCGGTAGGACTTGCTGCGGCTGATGCTCACCTGCGGCGCCTGGCTGATTTTGAGGCTGTCGCTGGCTTGTTCCAGGAGGAGCCGCTCCCTGTCCAGAGTCTCTGCGTGGTCGTGGAGGTACTTCCCGCCGGGTCCGTACAGCCGGCGGAGCTTGGGCGGCAGGTGCATGTCTGCGCTGAGAGAAAGGGGGTCTTTCGTTTGCCCTGGGAAGGAAGCGTGTCAAAAATGTCAAAATAACGAATAACAAAATGGCAGCAAATAAGCAAAGCAAAACCAAAAAATACAGTCTCGTAAATAAAGTTTAATGCTGGTGTAGGCCTGTAAACAATTCTTCCACATTTACAACAGCTGTTTAGTCTTTTCATTACCCAACAATTATGAAAACAACGAGATTAAAGCGTCAAACGAGCTGACTTTCTGGCTACCTGAAACACAACTCTTATCGCTGCATTAACTACACACTTTGAGCATAAAACCAGCTCATTTGTTACACGTTTTTTTCTCCTACATTGCTGCCAAATAACCAACACACACTCTCCCTTTTAATTTCAGCTTCAATTCAACTTACTGTCAGCGGTCTTGTCGAGCTCCCCTCTGCCGGGCAGACCCGTCAAACTTTGCGCCCCTATCAGTCTGACCTTACAGGGACTCCGGCGGCCCAGTATGCTGTCTATGCAGTAAGAGGAGAGCAGCGTCGGGGATTTGCTGCCCTTCCTCTCGCCCCGGTCGTGGATATCTTCCTCAAACTGACCGCTCATGTCGACGCTTCGGTTCGTCTAGTTTCGGTAACGCCTGTCAGTCTCCCACTCTCTCCCTCTCTCTCTCTCTCTCTCTCACTCTCTCTCTCTCGCACGGGGTCCGGTGCTCTCTTGTTCTTCTTCTTGTTCTTCTTCTCTCCTCTCAGGCCGGTGTGGCTGTTTGAAGCAGGACCTCCTCCCTCTCTCTTCTCTCTCTCTCTCTCTCTCTCTCCCTCTCTCCCTCTCTCTCTCCTCGTTCACTCCTCTGTCACACTCTCAGCTAATGACAGACAGCGGTTTGACTGCCTCGCGCTGCGCTCGGGTCTTGCCAGGCGCCTCTCCGCTCCGCGCGCTCGCTCAGCAGACGTGTAGGCTGTTATCGCGCGCCTGATTGGCTCGTATGTGTGTATGTGGGGAGAGAGACAGCGCGGAGCCGCTTTATATATTTTACCATTAAAGTTAATTTGAGGGAAAGGCGACAAAACCTGACATGGACTGGGGTTTCCTTCGCGGAACGAACTCAGCAGCTGAAGTTAAAAAAAAAAAAAGCAAAGCAATTTAAATCAGGGGTTGTTTTTTTTTTTCTCGCTTGTAGGTTTAATTTTCGTTTTTATTTCGGTAAAGTTAAAACAAAAAATGTTTGAAATTCTGAAATTCTATGAGAGCAGAAACAGCACTCAAATGGAATGATTTGATAATGTAATGGTGTTTTTGGCAGACCTGCAACTAAGCACAGGTGTGTTTTATTAACATTAATTAAGGGTAACAAAGTAGCCAGAAGCTGCAACCACGATGATCAGCACCCTGACTGTTGGTCGACGAGTGCATAACACACGATCACAACAGGTTTTTATTTCAAACATTTTGATATGTCACGGCATGAAAAGCACAGGTGTAAATAAT